TCCATAAAATAAATTATATATTAAATGTCATTGTTATGAAAATGAAACATTATACATATATTAGATATATTTTAAAAGAATCTCTCTTGTAAAATACATAGACAATGCTTATTTTATTTATTTACTTTTTATTCCACCAGTGAAAGGATAACACACTATACAGATAGATATATAGATACTCTTTATTGTTTCCTCCAAAAGATTACAATAGTAAACTTATTATAGATATAAACAATTACAAGAAAATATTACACTAAGATCGATCTCTTCATCATCATTTCAGATATTTATCCGTCCGCTGCTGGACATAAGTCTCCCCCATAGACTGCCATAAAGAACGGTTCTGAGACACCTTCCATTTACTGACTCCTTGCAATGCATTTCAGGTCGTCACCCCATCCTTTAGGAGGTCAGTCCTACACTATGATATAAATACATATACATAGAAATACTTATATTATATTACAAATTTATACACATATATATATATATATATATATATATATATATATATGTGTGTGTGTGTGTGTGTGTGTGTGTGTATGGATAATAATAATCAAATATACCAACTTGCTTAGATAGAAGTCCTTAACTTTTGTTTTAAAACTTGTAGCTATTATATACTTTGTGTGAGATTTGTAAACTATTCCATAGTCTACATATAATACCTTCATCATCACCACCATCATCATCATCACTACTCATATATCGTCCACTGTTAACTGACCATAGGCGTAACCGTATATAAAGTCCCTACTCTATTTATGGTTATGTGTACAGTGAGGATTTAACCCCCTGGTTATAATCTCGTTGTACACGAAACATAATAGGGGCTGTTTGTATAACCCGTCCATGTAAATGTACTAGTCCGTTAATATTACACCTTTAGCGTGAGTGGCCTATTAAACTGAGTGGGTTGTACATAGCAATTCCTATTATGATTCATGGGCTTTTTAACATTCCCGAAAGAATAGACTTATATAGTACTAGCTGTATCGCGCAGTTCCGCTTGCGTGAATCGGTGCATAAAATATCCCGTGTACTAAGTTAGGATATAATCTATGCGTGTACCAAATTTCATTGAAATCAGTTCAGTAGTTTTCACGTAAAAGAGTAACAAACATCATCCATCCTTACAAACTTTCCCATTTATAATATTATTAAATATTTTTGTGAAAAGCGCCGCCAAAAATCCCCTTCTTTCTTCAGACCCGGCATTGGTTAGAAGGTTTGTTACAATCTGGTCGACATCTGAACGAGTGACGGTCTTCCACCGTGCGTTTTCAAGGTACTTTCTTCCACGCACAACCACTCTTTGGAATCAACTTCCAGCAGCAGTATTTCCGAACCGATACAACAACATAACCTTCAAGAAAAGAGCATATTCCTTTTTAAAAGGCCGGCAGCACACCCGCAATGCTGTTGGTGTTGTGGGTGATCATGGGTGGCGGTAGTCACTTGCCATCAGGTGAGCCGCATGCTCGATTGCCCCTTGAGTTGTAAAAAAATCAGTCTGCTCGCCAATGTTATCATTATTATTTAAGTCTCAGAAACATCAATTTCATTGAAATATAATATTCTTATGATACGGATTTGTCTCATATTTTGCTACAAAGTAGGTACGATTCCGTGCCTCGAAAATATTTATTTGTGTAAATTTAACTAAAGAAGTGAAGAGAGTGGTTTGCCTTTTAAAACATGCATCCGAGTTTATTTGCTTTACAGCGCTCCTCGCTATGATGGGTAGAAAAGGTGAAGCTTTTCCTACTCGTAGCTCGTAAGAGCTTACGGAGTGGGGGTTCGTTGTGTGTGTCCCATGGTGCTTTGTTAAAGGGTTGAGGAGAATGATCTGGGTAGACTAGTAAATTTACTTCCACACACTGTTAAGGGACCCATACATATGCTATTAAGGTCATACTTGAAAACGAAAACAAATACTTGACCCCAGCATTATGGCACGTAAATAGAGCATAAGCTTTCTAGTAAAAACCCAGCAGAAAATTCATCATGAAGATCTAATCGTCTTCCTTGGGACGAATGGGTCGCCATGATGGATTCCCCCACATAAAATAGGGTAAGTTAGTAATAAACCACCGATACCCCGTCGCCCAGCCATAACCTTCGGGTCAGGCGATATTACATTAGATAACAAAGCAGACAAGCTACGTATCATAAAACCACATTCTAATAAAAGCCAAATTCTATAGTTTAAATATTTTCTCTTGTTTCACTAGCTAATAAAAATACATTATAAAAAGGTACATTTTTTCTCTTTACTGTATGTAATAAATTTATGTAATATTTTATTACATATTTTAATATTTTATTTAACTGTATATTTGTTATGTATTAATAATTGTAACACTTCAGCTGCCCGCTAAGAAAACATAACTATTTATCACGCAAAATTGTATGAAAAACTTGGCCCGTTTTTCTCGAAGCATTTCTATGGAGAAAATTCATTTATATAGATAGATAGATAGACACTCTTTATTGTTTCCTCCAAAAGAATACAATAGTAAACTTATTATAAATATAAATTATTTACAAGAAATAATCACAATGAGAAACCAATGGGCGATGTTATCGCTAAAAGCGATCTCTTCCAGGCAACCTTTGGATGGAGAGGAGTAATTATAAACAATTTGGTGGGAGGCACGATGAAAAGTTCTGTTAGTTCTAAATATGGAGATGAGATACATGTAATAATATAAATATATATAATATAATCTAAGAGTAGGCCATATTCTCACGAGGGAAGAGGAAGACCTGTGGCCAGTAATGGGTTTTACTGTAAATTAAAGTAAGACTTACTTATTCAAGTTAACCATTTTAAACCCTCGCATGTTCGACGCTGCATGTAGCTTAAAAGGCTTTATGGATTTTAATAAAGGTGTGTTTGTCGGGAGCGCTGCAGGCTACATGACGAGAGCATAAAATAAATATGGCTGGCGTAAACTGTCAAAATATTATGAAAATTTTAACTTTAGAAAGGAGGGCGTTTTGTGACCTTTTTATGGCAATTTTTTCGTTATCCAAATAACTTTGGTCGTGATACTTTCAAAATTTCGCATGTATACATTATTAATATAGTATAGTGGGTTTGGTTATTACATTTTTTTATGATTTTATGATTCGAAACGTCCAGGAGGTAAATATTTTACTAACTAATAATATTTTACTAACGTTATAAATTATAAAAGTTTATGTAACAGATATATAATTTATTTGCATTACTTACAGCACACAAATAACAACAGATATTTTATTTATTTATTTATTTAATAAGGTTCACATACAACTTTTACATTTTACATGCAACTTAATAACACAAAAAATAATTTTGCCTAATGTAAAAATCTTTTATACGCGAACACCACATGCACTATTATAATATTTAATAAATCATTAACAATAACAGTAAGATTATCTGAATAATAACTAATTATGAACTTATGTCTAAGATTTTCCGCAATAAGCTATATCTGCTGTTGGTGGGTCCAAAATTGATGTCAATTTGATCGCTGTGAGCATTCAGAATCCTACACAATCTGGGTACAGGCGAGTTGGCTACAGATGGGCAAAGCACCGGGTTTAAACCCGGTGCTTTGGTAAAAACCCAATAAACACCCATAAACTCCCATAATCACCCAAAAAAATAGGTTTTTACGTATTTTTTTGAAAATATGTAAGTAATACCAATAAATTATTTTTATAAATTGTATTGATCAATTCTACAATATTAAATAAAACGTTAACTAATAATATTTCAGGAAATTTTAAAAATCTATATATAATAAAATGAAAGTAATTAATTTTCAGTGTTTTCATGTTGCAGTTGATCAACATGTTGGCCTTTTGCTTCCCGTAGATACTTTAAAATTTCTTCATAACACCTCGTTCGCACACATGGCCGTATATATTTAAATTCTTGAGCCACTAACAGTCCGAAATACTCATTTCTTTTATCCTCTTCTCCATAAATTAAGCATTTAGAACAGTTTGTTTCTTCTTTCAGTAAATTTTCTTTTACTTTATCCTCGTTTTTTTTCTTTGTTGCGACGACGCTGGGTAAATCATCTGGACACTGGGTCTCACTATCGCCAAATATATTTGGAGATCGGCTTCGGCTACGGCTTGGCAGACATTTTTTTCTTTCTACAATTTTAAATTAAATTTATTAGAATAAATGCTTCGAACACACGCGATCTAAGTACCTTTTGTGTTTATTATACCTTACCTACCTAGGTATAAAAAGAGTACTTACGTAGATTTTCTTTTATTAACTGTTTTATACGAAGATCTTGATCTCTCAAATTAGCATCCATTTTACTTCCAGTGATTATCAACTAAATTAATAATCCACAAAGTATTAAATAACGTTTTTATGAAATATTTAGCACAAAAACAATACCCTTTAAATATCGATCGTCAGTAACTGTGGCTGACTTACCTATATTCTAGCAAGCAGGACTGCCAGATGTGAAGGGGAAATCCCCAATAAATTGTTGCATGTGACTGATGATGTGAGCATGTTCGTTTCATAATAAAAATGTTGCCAGGTAACCAAAAAGTCGTATGTTTTTGTGCGAATTACGATCATAATCTTTACGATCGTACATTAAAAAATAGACAAATAATAGTATGAGTACGATTTAAATCGTATATCTGTCAACCCTGCTAGCAAGACAGCGACAAAATCACGTTGCATAACAATGTAGCCCAAGCTTATATCTTATGAAATATACGGAAGAGATACGGACTTAGAAAAAACAGAAATGTTGTTCTTTGTGGAAGTCATTGATGAAATTCTATGTATTTTAGCCCGCAAACTTTCTTCAAACAAAAACAGCGCCATCTAGTATCGAGTTCTGTAATTATCTCTTTGTTTATGGATTTGAAGTAAGACCGCCACGCATGCAATACATTATGACTGGGGATTCCCCTATTCGTCGACGCTGAATATGAGGCGACGACAATCACTGTCAAACGTGTTCACTATTACTCTGACTCTGGTAACGTGACTTCCTGGTAACGTGTTAGGTAGGAAAAGCAGTAAAAAAGTGCATATTAAGGGAGCAGATTTGAAATAATATTTATACTTAACAAGAAATAATTAAAGGTAAGTGGATTTTTGAATGATACAATTATATCATGATCACTTAACAATTTTAACTTAAAATTAGATGTATTATTACAAGCTTTTATTTAGCTTGCGTTATGTAAATAAAAGTATGTAGGTATGTTCGTATGTTGATGCAATTATCCTCAATCCTCAACCGACTGGGATAAAATTTTCCATACACGTTTATTTTGGATGATAGTGCATAGTTAGCTGAGAGTCGTCATTGGATAATAATGGTGGATAGCCTAAGATGTGTACTAGATATTTATTTTTAACATAATATGCGTAAGTACCTAATCGAATTAAAGAAGTTGCTGAGAAAAATACAGAACAATACGATAATAAACTAGCGTCTGCGTTTAATCCTCCGAGGAGATGTAATTTTACAAAGGTTTTTTGTATTTATTTTATTATTTTTTTAATAAATTTATTGTAAATAACAAGAAATAATCATTGTAAAAAAATAGGCACTCTATTGTTGAATTTTCGTCAGACCAACTAATCATCGTTCATTTTTTTAGGTTCAATGGGGAGACCTAAAGATTTACGCATATGGGAGCACTACCGTACTTTACCAAACAAGTCTGTTTCTTGCAAGCTTTGTAATAAGGTCTACAAATTCAGTAATGCTGCCAAAATGCTTCAACATCTTATCACTTGTCCAAAATCTCCAGAAACATTAAAAGACTCTATGAAACTTATAAAAGATAGCTCGTCCAAAACCAAAATGTCTGGACTGTCAGAGATAGAGACAAATGATTCTTTTATAAGCCCCTCGTCGTCTGCTAACACTACAATAAATGCTGAGTTTCAAGACACCGATGATCATATAAAAACAGAATTAGCGAGAGCTATATTTGTAACAGGGACGCCATTATCGATGGTGCAACATCCTTTATGGATACAATTTTTCGAAAAATTGCAACCAAAATTTAAAATACCTTCACGTAAAGCTTTAGCGACAAAATACTTAGATAAAATATATAGAGAAATGCGTTTTGAGTTAAATGAGGAACTAAATGCTTGTAGTTACTTACACCTTCAGTGCGATGGCTGGTCTAATTTAAGAAATGAAGGAATAATAAACTTTCTTATATCAAAACCTCAACCTGCATACGTTAAAAGTTTGAATACAGAAAGTAATCCTCACACTAGTGAATACCTTAGCCAAGAAGTTGAAAAAGTAATGAAAGTGTATGGAGCAAATAAGTTTCTTGTACTTATTGGCGATAACGCTAGAAATATACAAAAGGCATTCGAATTAACAAAACTCAAATATCCACATGTTGTTCCTCTCGGTTGCTGTGCACATATCCTTAACTTGTTGTGCCAAGATATTGTAAAGATACAAGAAGTAACTGTGTTTATTATGCAAGCCATAAATATAATAAAAACTGTTAAAAGGAGTCAACGATTAAGTTCCTTGTTGATAAAATCAAGGCAGGGTGAAGATTCTACACAAACACTAAAATTGCCTTGTGCTACAAGATGGGGAAGTCATGTTACTTCGTTAAAAAGTTTGAAAGCAAATAAGATAGCTTTGCAAATATTAACAGTTAGAGAAGATGTGGTAATTTCAAGAGATATTAAATATTTAATTCTAAGTGATGATTTCTGGACGAAGACAGGGGAATGTATAAGTATTTTGGAACCAGTCACTGAAAGCATATTTTACTTAGAGAGCGACCAGAATCGTTTGCATCGCACATACATTACATTTAGAGATGTACAAGCTAAGATACGTTTTGCATTAAATGAGATTTCGACATTGAGCGAAGAAAGCAAACAGCAGATTCTAACATCAGTATCTTCAAGATGCAATATGGCAATGAGGCCAATACATTTTGCAGCATATATTCTAGACCCCAGGACTCTAGGAGTCGAACTTACTCAAGAGGAAGAACTTAAGGGTATGGAGTTTATCTACAATTTAAGCCAACACTTAAGTTTGTCAAATGTAATGGCAGATTTGGCGTGTTATAAAGCTAAAGAAAACTTTTGGGCCAGAGGATTTGTATGGAGCTCATTAGATAGCATTGAGCCCCTAATATGGTGGAAAGGTATTTGTGGTTCCACTGAGTTAAGCAAAGTAGCGATTCGTATTCTATCAGCTCCCTGTACTTCGGCAGCCACTGAGCGTTCCTTTAGTATCCAAGGCTACATACATAATAACAAAAGAAATCGACTTACAACTGAAAGAACTGAAAAAATTTCATTCATTTGTTATAACTGGAATCTTAAACATAAAGCTGAATGCGAGGACATTCAGTTTAATGAAGAAAATACCTTAGAAGCTTTCATTGAGCAAGTAAATGAACATAACAGTTTAGACGAAATAGAGCCTATCGAACCTATACAATTCATCGCTTGTAATAACTCTGAATCTGACAGTGATTGACTGTAGTTTTACATTTTACTTTCATCTCTTTCTTAATAAACTCAAAATCAAATTAAAAGTTTTTTATTCTGTAGGCTGCATAATAATATTGTCTATGTCCAGTATAGTGGACGTCTTGCGGCTGAGATGACGATGATGAAGTACAAAATCATAAACACCCAAAAATTTGGGTGTTTATGGGGTTTAAACCCAATAAACCCAAAACACCCGGTTTTTACCCACCAGACTTTAAACCCACCCAGGTGGATTGCCCATCTCTAGAGTTGGCTCCTAACACTGTTCTTCTTAACGGAGGACATAAAGGTATTTCCGATATAGATAGACATACACAAAAAAGAGATGTTTCTATGTATTATATCAAATGGTGGGTAGAGCCTTTTCTATAACAATACGTTTTAAAGTCGCGAAATGCAGTTAGTACGCTGATAAATTAAACTTTCCACGGTTTGAACTGATTGCGATCGGTCCCGGTTAAATTTCAATCACAAACGCAATAAAGGAAATTGAAAAAGAATCGTGTACGCACGGAGTGATTGCATCAAATTAAAACCCTTGGGAACGATCGCTCGTTTGATACCGGCTCCGCTTTGCCTATAAAGGTCCTCACTGATTATTTAAGAACTGCACCCTTTTTTTATGCAACTTAGAATGGCAAGCAAGCTGATGGTCCACATCATGGAAAGCGGTAACCATCGCCTATAGACATGAGCAGTACCATGGACATAACAGAGTATACTTTTTCGCCCATGATACTCCCCATGCGTTGCCATTCCTGAGGACTTGGGTGTTATTCCTCTGTACAGAGTAAATTCATTGCCATATCTCTCCCTTTAAACCGAAACACAGTCGTGCAAATGAAACTGCTTCACGGTAGAAACACGAATGGTGCAGAGGTGCTCAAGCAAACGACTTTTTTGCAGTCTAGTCTCCCTCTGGTAAAATCAAACCAATTCTGTATAGTTTATAACTTTTAACTTAAAGTGTACTATTTAATATCGTCATATTAACTCTTAACAGAACACTGTTAAACTTTAGTTGCCCATGAGGGGTTTGGCCAGTAGTTGTCACGCGTGGTAGGTGGATTGTCAACCGCAGTTACGATTAGGAGATGTTTTAAGAGGGACGCTGCTGCCCATTCTTCGCCTTCCCTTAGTTACCTCTTACGACACATACGGAATAGGGTGGCCTATTCTATGCCGGAACCATACACTGTATTTAATAAAAATAAACGATATCAACTTTGTGTTTTCAATATATTTTCTCGTCAAAATCAAAAGAAAAACATAATATTTTACAACTCGGCATTACCAAATTACAAATCAGTACCACTGTATTTTTTTTCGTCTATGTTATGCAATATTTTGGCCAGTTTTTTATCTATCTTCAATAATACTCTTTTGTAATTGAAAGAGTTTTTTTTTTTAATTTCCTTCCTGAATTTTTTTAAGTTAAATATTGAATCATAACTAGTGAAGATATTGAGTGACATATATACAAAAAGAGCTTATTCTATTTCCTACCGAATCGTTACATTGCTTGCTACGTTCGAACAGTTCGGTTATAGTAAGTAACGACCTTTAACTACGTACGTACGGGATAAAGTAAATTGATTTCAGGACGCCATTATACCCTGAACTCTATTGTTGTGAAAAAAATCTGCACTGAACTGTACTCGTATTGTTAAGACAACATTGTACTATTTTAACTGACTTCAAAAATAGTAGATTCTCAATTCTGTTTTTTCTATGTTTATTACCTCATAACTCCGTTAGTTGTAAACTTATTTAGTAAATTCTTTTTTTTTATATTTGAAAAAATATACTTACAGATTAGTTCTTGAATTTACACAATTTAGAAATTTTACCAAATTTTTTTTTAGTTTCGTAATCAAAATAAATGGTTTTGCTACAATTAAAGTCGGTTTTTTTTGCAAATACTGAATAATACTTAATAAGTGAATACTTAATAAATTAAGTATTTATTTAAATTCAAATCTTGCATGAATATATATACATTAGGTGAAAATATTTTTTATAGGTATTGTGAGTAGGTGAAAATATATTATTTCACATTATATAGGAGGTGACCAAGCAAACGACTTTTATAAAAAGTCTCCCTCTGGTGAGTCTCTCTCTTGTTTGTTTGTTTGTTACTTTAACAGCTTAACATGTAGGTTTTTTTTTATGGGTAAAAATGGTATGGTAACCCCGCCTGCGCTAACGGGATACGCTGGCGGAGCACCAGTGAACGGTGATAGATGAGAATGAAAACAGGCCAGTTAGCCTATCATGATGAATTCATAAGGAAATAACCATGATAGTTTCCAAGGGGAACTGCGAGGAGGTCAACCTGGTTGTGTATATTTCTAGCAATGGGATTTTCAGTCTCTATTACTAACAATCCCTTTCCCCCCTAACATGTAGGTTACATGTACATACTAAATGTAAATGAAGAATGACACAGACTACTTTTTAGCCCGGTCAATATTTTTTTTTATACAACTTAGAATAGCAATCAAGCTAACGACCCACTTGATGGAAAGTGGTAACCGTCGCCTATAGACATGTGCAGTACCATGGACATAACAGAGTATACTGTTTCGCTCATGATACCTCCCATGCGTTGCCATTCCTGAGGTCTCAGGTGTTATTCCTCTGTACCCAGTAAATTCACGCCATATCCCGGTCACGCGGACGAAGTCGCGAGTGAAAGCTAGTGACAAATATTTTTATTTAAATCATTTATTGTTGTAAATTAGCATTTTATAAAGCTACACTGAATTGTTGTTCAATTAATATACAAAAATAACATAACTTTCTTTTTAACGTTATCACTGAAAGCTTTCGTCAGAAATAATTTGAATAATCAAAATAAAATAAAACGTTCTTTATTGTAATACCAAAATTTAATTCAATGTTCAAATTTAATAATTAAATATGAACAATTTTTAAACAATTAAGTAGCTATGTTATTGGATGTAATTTTTTTTTTTAAGTTTTTTATTTGAATTACACAGTAAAAAATACCAATCCTTACTATAATATATATATATATATATATATATATATATATATATATATATATATATATATATATATATATATATTTTTTTTATATTAATATTATTATTCTTAACTGTCCACTGCTGAACATAGGTCTACCCCATAAAGAGGGTTTTGCCAGTAGTTGCCACGCTTGGCAGGCAGGTTGGCGACAGCAGTTAGGCAGGGGGAAAGGGATTGTTAGTAATGGAAACTAAAAATCCCATTGCTAGAATATATACCCAACTAGGTCGATCTCCTCGCGTTTCCCCCTGGAAACTATCATGGTTAATCCCTGATGAATTCATCATGATGGACTAACTGACCTGTTTTCATTTTCATCTATCACCCTTCACTGGTGCTCCGCCAGCGTATTCCGTTAGCGCAGGCAGGGTTGCCATTCCATTTTCACCCATCAAAAAAAACCGCAGTTAGGCTTTGGTGATGTTTAAAGATAAACCTGCCCATCCCTTGTTCATTAAATGTCCTTAGTCCTCTCTTACGACACCTATAGGAAAGGGGTGATCCATTCTATTCTGGGACCACACAGCCAAACCTTCGTGTAAATTTAAGAATTCAAATGAAATACAGTATAGAGTCATAAGATTCGGTTCTCTCTGTACACCTCGTAAGGAATCTAGCGTGAAGATAGCCAGTAAATCGATTGACTACAGAAAGCTTAGAAATCACCTTGAAGTTTTGATTATGCAAAATACTAACCCAAAAAACATTCAGGGCTTTACTGCTCGACCTAGAAGTAAAACTTGTAGTCTTGTAGTAAATAGGTAGGTATCCTTTCAGATTTCCTCTTAGTATGGTACACACGTATGTAGGGTCGGGAACAAAACCGGTACCCAGTAATACAATCAACTGAAGCCGTGTGTCACAATAACCAATTTAGTTGGACTTCGTGATGTCATGGTTTACTGAGCTACATTGTGGCTACACACGGGCGTGAATTGTGAACTTGTCCGTTGATGAGTGTTGATACTTATTAATATACTCAACTAACTAACAAACGTTGTATTGCTCTCTCTCTCTCTTCAGTTGTACACTTTTGAGAGAGTGGTCTTGGTTTTTATGATGATAGTGGACCGTCGATGAGACCCTCCTTGGCGATTGAGGTCCTCGCAATGCGTCTCGATCTGCTTCTGCTCACAGCCGAGCAAGAGCATTCTGCAATAGACTGCTCTGTGGCCGTTTTGATGAGGTCAATCATTTGGATAATTATAATAATTGCTCTCTATAAGTCAGTATTTTTTATAAAAGCTATACTGTGTCTCAAACTGGAGCAAAAAGTACATGTTTTTAAAATTTTATTAAAATTGGTTGAGCAGTTTCGGAGATTAGCATAAACATGACACACAACGATATATTGAGTTTTATTCCTTTTATACCACGAAGGTGGCAAATAAGCTTACAACCCAAGATGAAGATATCAGAGATAGAAATTGATTTTATTACGTGATCGTCAATTCGATGTTTAATTATCGTTAACAATTAACAATGCTATAAGAAAAGCAGGTAGCTTAGAATAGCAATCTGCATACTCCCTAAAACGCATTTTTAAAGCCATATATAAAGTCATATCACCTTAATTATTAGGAACGGTAATGCATGAAGTGTCGTGGTTGTTAGTGTATATCCTGTGACTGTTATGGTACTTTTCATATCTATCTACTAAGCGGCGTTACTATTTTTTTTATGGGTGAAAATGGTATGGTAATCCCGCCTGCACTAACGGTATACGCTTGCGGAGCACCAGTGAAGGGTGATAGATGAGAATGAAAACAGGCCAGTTTGCCCATCATGATGAATTCATCAGGAATTAACCATGATAGTTTCCAGGGAGAACCGCGAAGAGTTCGACCTGGTTGGGTATATTGCTAGCAATGGGAATCTCAGTCTCCATTACTAACAATCCCTTTCCCCCCGCGGCGTTACTATTTGCCGGCAAAGTTTGAAATGAGTCCAATAAATTGAATTCGTTTCGTGTTTATAACGGCCCTGTATTTAAAATAGCACGGTCTTTAAAACAACGACGACACACGACTCTGTAATAACTAATACAAGAAAGTTTCGAAAGAGAATCAACCTCTGAAAGCAACAGCGCGTGACTGCTCGCAATATATCGTCGTATTTTTAAAGCAATAGCTATTTGGAAGGCGCAGTGCACGTATGGATACCGTCGGAGAAAAGATAGTTTGATGTA